ATTTGCAGAGTGTATTGGTTTCATCTTTCGGTCGATACCATAATATACTGGGTGTTCCATTTAAAAAAACAAAGTGGATCCATTTTCCGGAAAAACTAAAAGTGATAGCAAAATTTTCCATAAGAAAATATTTGTGCTGATAAAATATAGAACCTGACGTTTTTTTGCTCATATTGATATCTCAATCTGTTCGGAAGTTAAAAAGGGGGGGGGTTACTTTACGCTAGCACTGTATAATATAATATACAGGTGTCCGGAAATTGCGTTCATATATTTAAAAGTGTGATTCTACATAAAAAATCATAAAGAAAAGTTCATATAAAGGTGTGTCCTAAAATGCCTCCTAAGGGAGATAGAGCACTTTGAAGAAGACGTTCAATGTGTGGTTATTTCTCATTATTTCAAAAACTACTAGGGTTAGAAACACGAAATTTTGCATATCTAGCTATTTTTACGGGGCGAATACGATAATCGAATGAAAAATTAGAAGGAATGTGCAGTTGCGGAAATAAGGGATAGGGGGCGCAATTTATTTCCCATATTTTTTTTTGTTGTGATCTTTTCACTATTTTAACCTCAAAATTAGAATCCACGGAAAAAAATACATAAAAAATGTTCTGCTTATAAAATGGTCTACGACCAGTAGTTTTCAAGATAAATAATACTAAGTAAAATACTGCACACAAACATGTGTATTAAACTATCACTAGAAATCGTTAGTAGGCTCCTTTCATTTGTTGATCTTTGCTGTCAAGCGGTCGATAAAAAAATATTTTAGTGCAAAAACCATTATTGTAATTTACGTTTAATTAAATCAAAATGGTTTAATACTCAAACGAAGAGATGGCTAACATTCACTTTACGTACGGTAGAGCTGATGGAAATGCCAGAGAAGCACGAAGATTGTACGCAGAACGATATCCAAATCTACAACTTCCCTGTGAACGCCATGTGTTCGCTTGTATTCATAGAAGATTGTGTGAAACTGGGCGCTTCATGCACTACGAGGACTGTAGAACTGGAAGAAAGGGTGCTCGATACAGTAGCTATCAATCCTACGGTAAGTACTCGGAGATTATCGGTACAACAAAATGTGCCACCGTTTGGGAGGTATTTAAAGATCAGCTACTGCATCCATATCATTTCCAAAAGGTGCAGGCTTTAAAACCCACCGATAGCATCCCAAGACTACAGTTCAGTCGTTGGATTATGGAACAATGGCGCCATGACAGAAATTTTCCGGAAAAAATGTTGTTTACCGATGAAGCTGGATTTACCCGAGATGGCGTCATTAACTTCCATAATATCCGTGTTTGGGCCGATCAAACCCATACCATTGTATGGGTTTTAGCCACGAAACATCAAGAAAGATTTTTATTAATGTATGGGTTGGTATTATTGGGGATCATTTAATTGGTCCCCATGTACATACTTGATAATAATAATAATAATACTTTATTGGTGATAGTATCAATAAGTGATTTTCACAGGTCATAAAAGAAAATAATACAATAAACATAAAATGCAATTTACAATAATGGTAAGTACACTAAAAGTAGTAATAAGTAACAACAGGTAAGTAAAAGAACAAAAAAAGAAGAAAAAGGCTTCTGGGAGGTGACACACCGGTCATAGCAAGTCATCAAAATCATTGGTCAAAAACTCCTGAACAGTATAAAAGGCCTTCACCACTAAATAATTTTTCATTTTGTGTTTGAAATTGTTACTCTCTAGCAATCTTATGTGTTTCGGAAGGACATTGTAGAATTTTATGCCAAAATAATTCACGTCATCCCTGGCCTTTGCCGTTCGAGAATAGTCCGTAATTAAGGTATCACTCGCCCTAGTGTGGTAATTATGATAAGTATTAAGAGTTTTAAATTTGGAGATATGGAGATATTACCCGTGATATATAAGAGACAATGGAGAATGTAAAGCGAAGGGAAAGTCAGTATCTTATAATCAATGAAATTGGCTCTACAACAGTCCCGAAAACCTAGACCGCCCATAACTCTAACACATCTTCGCTGCACACCAAAAACACGATCCACATGGGCGGAGTGACCCCAACAAATTAACGCGTACGATACGTGGCTGTAGAAATAGCCGTAGTATGTGTTGATCACAACATTGAACTTGACAAGGTCTCTCAGTCTCCGAATGACGAATACAATGGTATTCAGTTTTTTCGTCAATTGGTCAATGTAGGCCTTCCACGTCAAACCAGAGTCAAGATAGACCCCCAAGAACTTGTCCGACTCCGAACACGACCTGAGACGTTTGAGTGAAAGATTTAAAGTTTGTGTTTTTTCTCTATTCATGCTTAGTCTGTTGGTCTGAATCCAATTTGAGATGCAGGCTTGTGACTCAGATATGCGGTGACGCAAGACATCGGCATCTGTTGAGGAGACCATTACGGTTGTATCATCAGCAAAAAGGATGAAGTCGGAATCATGTGGAATGTTACTGGGTAGGTCGTTGATAAATATCAAAAACAGGAGTGGCCCCAATACTGAGCGCTGAGGTACACCATACCTAAGTCTAGACGATCGATAACCGTCTCAACGGTACAAATTATCTTAACTTTTTGCAAAATACCTTGTTTAAACTGATGGAAGAAGTGCCGTATCAAACACGCAGGGAAATGTGGTTTATGCATAATATTTAAATGTGAAAATTACCGTGAAAAATTACCGTGAAAGATGGATAGGTCGAGGAGCGTCCGTAGCATGGCCCCCACGTTCGCCGAACTTGAAGCCATAGACTTCTTTCTCTGGTTATAAAGAGCTGAGTATTTTAGAAGTTGAGTATTCAGTATTTGAGTTGAGTTTATAACTCAAAAACCGTGATGACTAGAAAAATTCTACCTGCACCATTGGATTTCACGTGAAAAAATCTATTAGAACCCGTTTTTACTTTCTTACTAAGTTTCCGGATAGTCGAGATACAGGAGGTGTCTGAAAATCGTAAATTTCAAACACTCCCTGTATATCAAAAACGAAGAGGGCTATGAAAATTTGGTTTGTGCCATTGTAAGTTTCACAAAAAAAGTAGCTCAGGTTCGCGAAAGCCGCAACTTTCTATCTTTCATAATAACTGAGATATCCTGCAAATCCATCGAAATTTGGACACCCTGTACATAAAGTATGAAAACAATTCGATAAAGTAAGTTATAAGTTCTTCAGAAAAATCTGTATTATTCCTTGATTTCTTGCTAGGAAATGATGTTACAATTGGGTCTGAAGATATTAATAGTGTGTTTAAAATGTCTCTATTATTGTGTATTCTTGACAATTTTCTGGAAAAGTTCTCTCTATACCTTCTAAGGTCCTTATTCCGAGTTTCTTGCGCTTCTTCTGAAAGCAGGCCAATCTGGATACTTAATGATTTAATTATGAAGTGGCCATGTACAAGAATTTTATGCACTGCCACAGGCATATAATACCAATTATATAATTGATTCTATTATGGAATAGTGTTGTTTGTAAAATTTTTAAATGCAGCTGTGTTCCTGTAAATCCATCTGGTTTGGCATTTTAACGCGTCATTGATTTTCTTTTTTATTACTCTGTGTTCGATAGGTATTTTTTAACTAAAAAAATACTTCGGACTTGTTTGGGAAGAATTGTAACCTTCTTCCCAAACATGATATTCGAATCGTGACTGTTTTTTTAAAGTAGAGTTAGTACTAATGTTAATTCATAAAAAATAGTTGTTCTGAAAAACTGTAAACGATTGATAGTTTCAAAATTAAATTTCTGTAAAATAATAAAGGAAAAAGAAGAATTTTTTTTTGTGTGAACTGGGTATAAAACAAAATATGCAAAATTAACTCTAAAGTTCAACAAATACCAAAATCAAACCGAAAAGAAGAAAAACCAAGCGGCACAGTCAATTTAGACGTCTCAACATCAAAATGTGTGATTTTTTATACAATAGTTTTTAATATAACTGTATTTGACAATGACTGAAAATGATTTTTTGCTCATTTTTTAGACCATCTGGTTGGTTGAAACATTAACGTAGCACTGATTTAATAAAATAAAAAATCTTTCAACACTATTTGGCGCTAGAGAAGTTTAAGGTATGCTTGAAAATAAGATGTTAACCAGTAGTAAATACGTACAAAGTTTCAAATTTTACGGTTTACTTATACCCGAAATAAAAGATGAAATGTAAATTTTTGGCTCAACTTTGACAGCTCATAGCTCGAAAACAAAAGAGTTGCGACCCTATGTTTATATAAAAAACTTGCGTTATTTTGGCAAGTACTACGTCCTAGTAAAGTTTCCCGATTAAAAACTGAACCATCCTGTATATACATACCATACTGTAACCATACTGTATATACATCAACCACGGTTAATCAGAACCCCGGCTAAATGGTTCACGGATAATCGGCATTTTACTGTATTTAAAATATTTTTTAACTTAAAATGTGTATTAGAGCGTAATCTATCTAAAGAAGTCGATATGTTGCCAAAGTCTCTATTATTAATCTCTAAATTCCAATATTTGTAGAAAAAATGTAGAAAAGCCAAAAAATTTACATAATTCCTAAACTATTCTACTTAATAATGCATTTCAATACGCACGTTTATGTGGCAGTCACCCTGTATAATAAATAATCGCAAAATTTAAATATTTATCTAAGAAATTCTTTTGAACGTTTGTTCTAAATTCTAATTTTAACCGCTCGTGGTGTGTACGTGCCTTAAAAACGGATCTAATTGAAAGTGTCAATTTATACAAAATAAAATGTGCTTTCCAATTATTGGATTTACGAAAACGAAGCGATAACTTTAAGAATAATAAAAAAAAAGTTTCAAATGAAAACAGAGAGATAACGAGAACACGATTCGGGATCCGGTCAAAGTATCACGCGTTTCGACGCCGCTTCAAACATACACCTTATAATGGTTCGCCTTGGCGGTTAATTCAAAAAAAACAAACAATTAGTTTAAGTGAAAAATTTAGTAAATTTAAATGTACAAACCGAAATATCTCTTTAAAAATGTTATCTCAGGTAAGAAGGGATATAAAAATCTAATTCTACTTCGTTTCATAACCTCACTTTATCTAAACGTCAAACACAAACGTCACGAGTTAAAAACGTAATGTTTTTTTGTTTCACTTTTCGATAATAGATGGAGCTGAATTTAATTTAATTTTATTTAAATTTTTTAATTTATTTTTTATTTTAGGAAGAAATTCAACATATTCTTATAGTAATACGTCTAATTTAAAGGATTATGGTAATGCTTTAATTGTTTCAAAGTTATCCGGTTATGAATTTGAGAGGCACCGGAACAGTGACATGACTCCGGATGATCTTCGCCAGAAATTAATTCGGCGAGGAACCGATTTTGATAGATTAATTAAAAGTCATGATAATCATAAAAAATATGAAAGTGATATGGTTCAAAGTCTTGAAAAATCAGGATTTAAAGTGAAAGTAGTGAACAGGTAAAAAAAAATAGGTTTGAAGTGTTCAAAATGTACAATTT